GAGGAATAAAAAATAGGTGACAGAGAAGGAGGATAACACCTGCTATGAATAAAAAAGCCCTACATAAACTATTTTAGTATAAACATAGTAATGGTCTATCACTCATACTGCGCTGTGATTGGCTACTCTACTAATGGTCTAATTTGTGATAGACCACTCGCGGGAAAATCAAAATGGCGGCATCTCATTAATAAATCATTTTAAGGATATYTCAATTTGTTTTCATTATTTGACCRATWAGTATGTTTATACTAAAACAATTAGACCTCTCGGCCTCGTGGACTACGAGCTAATAGCCCATTCTGCCTCGCGGACTCGGCCTCATGGGCTATTAGCTCGTASTCCACTCGACCTCGAGGTCTAAAGTTGTTCAATAGTCGACAGTGTATTTGAAGTAATCAATAACGTGCTCCTCCGTCATTACAAATATTTTTTTCATGTATATTTTATAAGTTAACAAATAGTTTGTAGAGGAAAATGGTTAGGAAGCCTGTTGTTGTTGTGAGTTTTTGGGCACTTTTTTCCTAAGCGTGACCGTGCATCTTTTGTTTAACTATTGTTTTAGCCATAGTGGTCACATCTGAATGAACAGAGCGAAAATTATTCTTTTGAATATTTTAACCAATATTGAAATATTTCATTTCATAATTTCTTAGAAAGTGTTTATGTTCACTCATTTTACAATTCCCATCGTCCGTAAGAAAAACGTTGTGCAAGGTCTTGACTGATTCAACCTCAAAATACATGCAAAAGATGCTTGCAATTCATTTCCCTCTATTAACTATGTTTTGTTTTGTTTTTGATCACCACTGAGTGACCACCGTGTCACGCAATCTTTATTTCCAAGAAGAAAATAAATCGTAATCAAGATCTCTTCCAAGAATCCATTGACCATTGCACATCGAAATGTCTTTCGGCACATGTAAGTACGTTTGAAATCGTGAAATGCTTTAGTGTTAAATGAGATTTGATCTAAGAGCGTTGCTGAATTTATAGCTTTAATTAAGCCGTTTAAAAATAAGATTGATATATAGTCAGATGTTTCTCAGTAAATTGGGGGCCAAGTGATATTAATAGTCAAGCATTTTAGGAGTTAATTGGGGTTAACATTGATTTAGATATGCACATTTAAGGACACGGAGCGAACTTTTGGAAAAACGTCCATATAGTCTTTTAAGATTAAAATGTGCATCTATCTGAACTCATTGAGCAAAAATGCCGGAATAGTAAGTACTGTGTTCGAATCGGTTTATGCGTCTCGCACGTTGATTACTGATATAGAGAATATTATATGGGAGCGCGGAAATATGCGAATTATCTTCGAGTGTCAACATGACCATGTAATATTGTGTTTATCATATAATATTGAAAGCAAATTATGTCGTAAAACATCTCTTTTCTATTTTTTCTCAAGTCTTTCAATGGAAAAGCGATTTATGGAATAGTCCTGATCCTTTAGTGCATTGTTTGGTAAAGCGATGCGATCAAGAAAGTGTTCGAGCTGTGGAGGACAGAATAATCCAGACATCGCAAATCAGCGAGATGGTCTGGAGAACAGATGACTCTCTAACTCCAGTAGTGGTTTTCTGTGAAGTGGCATCGAGAATTGAAGCTGACATTGAGTCTGCAATGAGAGGGGTTCATGGTAAGCTTCGAGCATTGCATACGGCAATGCATACTGTTTCAAGAAGTGTTCACGCGTTCATGCACTGTAAGATATGCTGCTTTATTCAAGCATGTAACCTATACTTAATTACACAATCGTGACGTCATTAAGACAATATTGTAACATCCTCCCCTCTTTATAGAGTAAAAGCTAATTGATAAAAAAA